CCTCCGGGGCAGGCGGGAATTGAACTCATGCGGAAGCGGCTTTAGATTCTCAGTGCTGTGCTTTAACCCACTGCGCCACCAGGGAGGGCCGGGCTTATGTCTTTTTAAAAAATTTAAAATTTCATTTCTGCATAGAAGAACTGGGGTGTACACCAGAGGGTTGAGGGTCAGGGGGTGAGAGGATTCAACAGAGACAGAGGGGAAGCAGAACAGGTGGATTTACTGAAATACACTGCTGAGGGGAGCAGCAGTTGAGATAGGAGAGGTGCACCATGTATGGGTCAGCTCGCTGGCTGGGACTGATTTCAGGCCTTCATGGTGACAGTGCTATGACTAAACCCTTAGGCCACCTGGGAGGCCCAGCATTAAAATCTTAGAAACCAGATGAAAGAATAGCATTTAAATTGTTAGGAAAGCTTTTGGAGAGTGCCTCATGGAATACTTTAAAAACCTGACATAATTTTCACTGTGAAATAGTTTGCTGCTCTTCGATGCTGTGTCTCCTTATCATTTTCTTATTTACATGTAGCAATATTAAAGAGAGCGAGCCTGTTCTTGACTTATGGAGAGTTGAAACACAATGCATATTTCAGAGAGCTGTTCTGTCAGGCTTTGGGGATTTATTCAATATATTTGCTAGAAGGTAATTAAATTCATGTCAGATGATCAGTTAGCAGGTTTCCTAGGGTTATCCTTTGCTGGGGCTGTCAGGGATATATTGATTAAATGAGGCTGTTGATAAGGGTGGGTCCAGGAGAAAGAAGACTCAGAAGCTAACAGCTCAGTCAGCTGGTGCACCCTGGATACCTTCTCATGCTGATCTTCATTTTAATTTATACCCATTTCAGCTTAGAGTGACATAAAATAAAACATTTAGGGCCAAAATAGAGGGTAGTAAAATTAAAGACAGTGGTATCCAAACAAATTGTCAATTAAGTTTATCCTCTTCTCCCATTTGACTACCATCTCACTTATCAAACCTCTTCCAGAAGGTGGGTGGAAGAGGCAGAAGAATTGGAGAAGAGGGAATTAGGATGTGGAAACTGTAGCTTAAAGTAAAGTCTTAGGAAAACTTTGGGTAGTAACAGGCTTCAGAATTGTAGGAATCACAACTTTATGACAGGGAGGTTTTTTATTTTTTTATTACAAAAGTTTTATTTTTACATCATTTTGTACCTTTTTTTTTTCATCTCGATTGTAATCCCCGCGG